TCATGACTAGCTCCTTAATCTTCCTCAGGCTTCTGCTTAAATGTTTCCATTCAGAAAATGCCCTTCCTGAACAGCACATAAATTTTAAAAAGTACCTCATCCCCTATCCACAGGACTCGTTCATGCCTTTCCTAGGATAAGGTTTTCCAGGTTAGTCCTGATTTCATCTGTATTGTCTTGACTTAGTAATTATTCTCAAAATGTCCTGGTTTGATAAATTATGTTGTTGCACACCCTTACAATATTTTCTTCTTATAGTTTTCATCTGTACCTGATACCACCTGTCTATCTCTCCCCGTTTGAATGTTGGTGAAAGTTGACCATTTGTTTTATTTTCTGCCGTATCCCTATCACTAAAAAGTACCTACAACACAAAGACTCAATAAATCTGTGTTGAATGAATGGGGTCATTAGCTACCTGATAATGTCAATTGCTCTCCTGGAAACCAGGGAGGAAAAGATAAGAGACCCTATTCAATACACAAGCCCCACCTGAAAGATTGTCTTTTGATAGAAACTGGAAAAAAGATTTTCAGGTTGAAAATCTATGGTCTGGGATCTATCTGCCTAGTGGAGGAGTCAGAGATGAAAGGCAGATGGGCATCGGAACATCTCTCATCAGTGAATGGCTGGGATGTCCAGTCTGGCAAAATCATCATATTGAGTTTACTATGCACATAGTCCTGCCCAGTGTGCCTAGTCAGAGCTAATGATAAATTAAATTCATAAATTCTATTTTTGTCACCGGAAAAAGTTTTTACTACAGAGTATTGGCTTTGCAGAGCCTAAGCAGCAAAAATAGAAAGTATTTATAGCCCCAAATGTCTCATGACAGTATAAGAAGTGGGGACAGGGAAATTGTCTCACAGAGAACTGAGTTTGGGATTTGATCAAAATGAGCAGTTGGACACAAATTATTTGCTGCAGGGAACAGCTTTGTAACCAAACTTTTGCATATAACTCTAATTATATCCTTAGGATAAATCCACACAAGTTAGAAATGCTATTAACTCGGATGATCTCTGCACATGATTTTCAAGATTGTCTTGAAAACGACTTGGGAATTCATTTTTTAAAAAAGAAAACCTTCCCCCCTCTATTAAATTTAGGTGTACTCCCAGTAGAAACAGCTGAGGTTCTTAACATTCTAAGGTATAGTAATCCTAGATACTTCAAGAAATCTGCTGCATAATTCTCTCCTCTGACAATATAGAGGTAGGCTTAATTCCTCCTCTCTATATTATATTCCTAACACCATGCAGGTACACCTCTATTATAGCATTTGCCACACTATCGTGTATTTGTTTTCCTATTTGGCCACCCTCCAAGTCTCCTTTCCCTCCCACCCAAACCCCAAGGGTTTTAAAAGCCTGTGAGCTCTTAAAGCAGCAGCTCTTAGGGAACATCTTCAAAGTGCAGAATTCGCTGCCCTCTCAGAATTTTTTTTAATACTTACCTGAGGGCATGTTCATTAATTGTAGAGAGATGGGAAGGGAGAGAGAGAGAAAGAGAGAAGGAGGGAGGGAGGGAGGGAGGGAAAGGGAAACATAGACGTGAGAGAGGAAGATCAATCGGTTGCCTCCCATAGGTGCCCCAGCTGGAATCAAACCCTTGACCTTTCAGTGCACTGACCGATGCTCTCAACTGAGCCACATCGGCCAGGTCATGCCCTCTCAGATTTTCACTCAGAAGTTCTAGGGTGGGGCTGGGGAATCTGTAGCAGACTTTCCCAAGAGACCTAGATAGTCAGTTCATAGATTTCACCATATGAAAATGACTGAGAGTAGGGACTATCTTAGTCATCATTGCATAACTAGTGCCTGGCACATACACACCCATAAATGTGCGCTGAATCAACTGAATGAATGGTCTGGAAAACATCTGGGGACTTCTCTAAGAGAATCCTTTCAAAAAGAATCAAAACCAGTTAGATCAGACAGCACTTTGCTTATGTGCTATGGGAATTATTCAACAAACAGGTCCAAAACTAAAGGGGATTAAAGAGCACAGTTAGCTATCCTGTGAAGATAAGAATAGTCCAGCAAGTGATTAGGCAGTTTACAGATGCAAGTCTTAGATAAACAGAATACATCCCTGGCCGGTGTGGCTCAGTTGGTTGAGCGTCATCCCATGCACCAAAAAAAGGTCACCGGTTTGATTCCCAGTCTGAGTTGCAGGCTCAACCCCAGTAGGGGGTGTGCAAGAGACAGCCAATTGATGTTTCTCTCTCTTTCTCCCTTTCCCTTCCTCTCTCTCTAAAAAATCAATAAAAACATATTTTTTAAAAAGTCAAACAAAAACAGAATATAGAGGGTCCTCATGTATGATGGTGTGACTTATTATTTTTCAACTTTATGATGGTGCAAAAGCTATATGCATTCAGGAGAGACTGTACTTCAAATTTTGAATTTTGATCTATTCCCAGGCTAGTAATATGTGGTACAATGTAGGGCGTGGCTATAGGGTTAAGCCTCCGACTGACCTGTTGGCAAAGCCACAAACAAGTCCCAGCTTAGAGGGCACAGTCCTCTTAGCATAATTAGGCTTGACCTTATGACGCTCCCTAGATCTTATCTGGGAAGCTAATGGGCTGAGGGAGATGTAGCAAGTGCTGCCAAAACAAGTGAAACTCATAAGAACATTGTAACTATGGTGACCACTACCTTGTTTACCTCTGGCTATAAAATAAAGGCTCAGCTTGCCTCTGGATCTCTCTCTGTGGCCTCAGCCAGGCACAGGAAGATCCACCTAGACCCAGCTTATTCTCTTTGTCATTTCTTCATCCTTTCGCTGCCCTCACTCAGGCTTTCGAACCCTTGGCTGAGCTGGCTCGGCACAGTACAATACTCTCTCATGGTGCTGGACAGCAGCAATGAGATGATTTTGCCCTACAGTAGGGTAATGTAAGTGTTCTGAGCACGTTAAGTTAGGCCAGGATAAGCTATGATGTTTGGTAGATTAGGGGTATTAAGTGTACTTTTGACTTACTTTTTCAGCTTATATCAGGATATAACCCCATCATAAGTCAAGAAGCATCTTTAGTTTGTGAACTGGATGCATTTTAGAACCCATCCTACTCATATTTTATCTGTTTATTTTCCAGTAGGCCTTGTACCCTCATCTTTTCCAGACAGAGGCACCTCGTTGCCTCAGCAGAGGCAGAGAGAAGTGAGTTTCATGAGAGAAGTGGTTATAACTGAGAAATATTTTTAAAACCCAGAAATGGTCTGCAAAGTGAATATTCTATCACTTGATGAAAACATGAATCTGAAGTTTACATTTATCAAAGTATTTCATGTCAGGCTCACTACCAGCCCTGAGCATTTTATTAATTCACCCTTAATTCATGCTGATTAAATAAATTCTCTATCTTTTGTTGCTCTGACATATTCTCTAGCAGCACTTTCCAATCCTCTCCCATAAACACCATATTTAAAATCCACTTGATGTGAATACGTTCAGCCAAATCTTTTCTTGCCCTAGAATCCCAAAACTACAGAACTCCCTTTCCAGGAAATAGGAAATCTTTGTTTAAATAAGTCCCTAGAGTTGGCCCAATAGTAACAGCATCAAGACAAAATTTTCATTAATAGAATGTTTAAAAACAAGTCATTCAGTTGTCTAAATAATAACAGTTGGACTTTTCCTTTACTTTGGATATATTAGATACATGCACATATAAACTTCTGTTGAGTTAAAGAATAAGTTGTCCTTATACATCATCAGGAAACATTATAGCTTGGACTTGGCACTCATAGATAAGGAATTGTCAGTCTGCCATTTATGCAGTGTGGCTGCATGCTCCATGTAATCTCAGTACAGCATTGCTGAGAGCCAAGGCCTCTGTTTTCAAATCTCATGTCTTTCACTGTGCTCGCTGAGTCACGTTAGTTACTGTTTCCTTCTTGGTACAGTAACCAGAAATGATTATCTTTCCACCAGAAGGATGTTGGGGAAATAACTATTACTAATAATTATGAAAACAGAAAGCAACTGATGTTGATACTTGTACTTTATAGCACGTACTCTGTCCATGAGCAGGGAAACGGGATGTCTTGAGTCACTTGAAATTTCAAGTATGTAGTCTTGGCATTTACATGAATAAGTTGTTCATTGGGAGTACTCTACTGATCAGTAATGCTAAGGCAAATCCAGCAGACAAGGAAAACAGAAAGTGATAAAAGAAATATGTGCAAAGGAAATTAGAATATTTCAGTCCTATACGCATATTTTAAAAATATTAAATGGCTTTGGGCCGCATATAGAAAGTATACACATGCATATGCTATATACTATATGTTGCATGTATATATTTGTACCTTTTGCAGTTTTGAAGAGCATTCAGAGAGGAGGCCCTTATTCATGTATGAGTACTTACAATATTTAATCCAGTGACTTAAATGTATTAGATACTCATTGAAAAAATGATTTTTTAAAAAGTGAATTGATAGCTCGGCCAGTGTGGCTCAGTAGTTGAGTGTTGACCCAGGAACCAAGAGGTCACCAGTTCAATTCCCAATCAGGGCACATGCCCAGGGTTTCGGGCTTGACCCCCAATGGGGGGCATGCAGGAGGCAGCCAATTGATGATGTTTCTCTCTCATAATGTTTCTATCCCTCTCCCTTCCTCTTTCTCTAAAAATCAATACAAACATTTTTTTAAAAAAAGTGAATTGATAATTTCAATGATAAGGAACCAGTTAAGTAAAACTTGTTTATATTTATTTGGAATACTCAACAGCTATTTGTTTAAAAGACTGTGTTAACATGAAAAGCAAGTTATCATATAGTGTTAAGTTAAATATGAATATACAGTGATGTTACAATAGAAAAAAATCTTTAAATAAAACAAGATGGAACTATAGCAAAATGTTAAAATGGGACTTTAGATTCTTTGGTCTCCTCTCTACTTTCTATTTTTTTCTTTAATAAACATGTTTCTTAATCATATAATTTGGTATAAGTGTAGAATTGGCAAAAAGTGCTATACGAGTTGAAGTATTGCTTTGTGACAGCTTTTATATCTCTCACATGCTATATCATATTACTATCCAACTGGTAGAGCCTGCAAGCAGGAAGAATAGTTGGAAGACAACATGATAGCCTCACATAACAGAAAACCAAATTGGGGTTTTTCAGACATAAAAGTAAGTCCAGATGTAGCCAGTCTAGAACTGCTGCAGCAGCTTCAAGATGTCGAGTGACTCAAACTCTTATCTTTCTGCTCAGCATCCCTATCTTGTAGATTCCATCTTCATATTTTCCACATCATGCTCATTTTCATTTTTGTCATGAGGTCCACCTCCACCCTCATTCTAAAAGGGAAAAAAGGGTATAAAATGGAGTTTTGAGGTGGTTAGTAGACATATTAAGAAAAAATGTTTTTTTCTAGAAATCTTCACCATATGTCTAGAAATATATCCCATGGCCACCCATATCAGTATGGGATCTAATGAAATGAGTTTTTTTAGCTAAGCTCATTGCCATCCTTCCTCCCATCCCCCACAAAAGTATCAGGATAGCCCAGCTGGTGTGGCTCAGTGGTTGAGCATTGACTCATGAACCAAGAGGTCACCATTTCAATTCCCAGTCAGGGCACATGCCTGAGTTCTGGCTTGATCCCCAGTAGGAGGCGTGTAGGAGGCAGCCAATCCATGTTCTCTCGTTGATGTTTCTCTCTATCCCTTTCCCTTCCCCTCTCTCTAAAATAATCAATAAAAACATTTTTTTTAAGTATCAGGATATTTCTAATAGATAGGGGCAACAAGCAGTGTCCTCCCTTTCCTTTCATATAAGGAATACACTCACCCCCTCCCTAAAAGAAACAATCTCGAAGTTTCATCCAGTTACTGCAATGAGCTCAAGCCCAGAATCCAGAAGTTCTGATGATGTGGGGTACTTCCCATCAAGAGTGTGGATCTGGCAACCAATATTTAAAGAAAATTTATCTGCCTCAACACTCCTAATAAGCAATGGTGGATATTCAAGAACAGAATGTTGGTAAAACTCCTACTCAGGAAAGGGCAAAATGGGAGACACAGTGGTCTCTGGCCCATAGAAATATCAAATCCTGCTGGATAATTACTGGTATAGCAAGGAATCCATGCCCTTGGTCAGTTAATATGTCAGTTCCTGGTTCTGTTCTGTAAGAGGATCTTCCTATTCTATTGTCTTCCAGGAGTCCCATCTGAGGTGGACATTGTGGAGGGTACATTTTGGAGCATTAAAACTTTAGTAGTTGGAAGAGACTAGATCTAAGAGTGTTGAATGAGTCCAGAATCTGGTGCCATTTTACCTTCTGGGGCAATTGACATCCTGAAAGCAGTAGTGGAGAGGTTGTGAAGTTCTCAAGGGCAGTGGGTAGGGAGTGGAGGGTGAAAATTTTGAGCTCAGGACCCAGGGGGCTAGGTGGGGGGAGATTTTAAGTTGGAATCCCCAAGAGCTACACCCTGGAAGAAACTTTTGATTAATCCCTGATTAGATTAAGTTGTCCATAATCTGTCCATAATCTAAATGGCTCCCAATGGACCACACCTCCTAATATTCATGGCCTCTTGCCACAGACTCTGCTCTTGGCTATATGACTTGCTTCGGCCAATGATACATAAGCACAGGCCTGCACACTGAGGCTTGTTCTCTTGGAATGCTCCCTCTCGGGATCCTGGAATTACCATGCTGTGAGGGAGTCCAAGTTAGTCACATGGAGAAGCCATGTAGAGAAAAACCAGGGAATCTAGCCAACAGCCCAAGACACACAGGCCTCCTTGAGCCAGCCCCAACCATCTGAGCCACCCCTGTTGAGGCCCAAGGGATCATGGAGCAGATGTGTGGCTCATGCACTCTGGCCTAACTGCGTTCTTGAGCCAAAGAATCTGGAATCTTGAGCAAATAGGAGTTAAGTCATGAAGTTTTGAGGTGGTTAGGACACAGCAACAAATAACTGAAACACTACTAAAAGAATAAAGAATGTATAGCAAATAAATCTAACTGTTGGGGAAAAATACAATTAAAGGTAGGTAATCCAAAGGGAGGCATGAAAAGAAAGAAAACAGATTAGATAAATAAAAGCAAACAGTAAAATCCATTTAAACTTGCTTCGAAGGCAATTCCGTGTATGAGTAGGCATGACGAAGAGCTTGCCTCAAATCAGTTTTTAAGCCTGAAAAATCTTGTCTTTTCTGTATTAGCCTCTGTATCCTGTCCATATCATTTCCACCTTAGTTTAATGGCCCTGCCTTGATGCAATTTGAAATAAGCCTGCAGTGATGATCCTACCTTTAATCTATTGTTTGCCAAATAAATAAATACATAAATAAATAAATAAATAAATATTCTTTGTTGAATAGATTTAGAAGAATTTAATTGTCACTCAGTTTGGTTTAGAAGAGTTTAATAAAGGCTTGGAACCATATACCTATTACTACCACCTCTCAGCTTCTATTTTTATAGGCTTCCAGGTCTGGCAAGGTTAATAGTTGGCTTTTCCAACCCAGAAAGCCTCCAAATTATGGAATTAAATCAGTTTATTTTTCAGGCCACAGGCCGAGAGCATCTTTTTGCAAGCTGTAGTGTGTTCTCTCTCTCTGCCAGCTGTTGGGGATAAAGCCGTAATTAACTTTCTTTTATTTTGATCAGGGCCTTTCCTTCCCATAAGACAGTGATTATATGATTTTCACGTGTTTCTTCCTCCACCACTGAAAAGCTATTCAATTGATGGACTTACCATAAAGGCATTTGACAATCCGGACAATACGGCCGAGTCTCGAGGGGTATGTATTTCAGAGGAGAGCATGTGGTGCCCTGCACGCTGCTTGGTGGGTGTCTGGGCTGGTCAGAGCTGCAGCCGAAGCCTAGCACGCGCCGGGCAATAGGCGCTCGACAAGTATTGAGTCAATTAATTACTACGGTGTCTGTGGGCTTTAAAACGTATCTATCGGCGCCTTTCCGTCAAAAAACCCCAAAGGTAGGTCATCTGAAAGAGGAATATGCCTTCTACCCGGTTGGGGCAGGCGATCCCTGGTGCTGCCGGGCCGGGCCGTTGGGTACGGAGCTGGCGACCCCGTCTGGCCGCAGCGGCCATAGCAGCCGTTTGCCGCCCCTTGGGGTTCGGTGGCGTCAGGGACAGGAGGCGTCTTGTGAGGAGGCAAATAAACAAAGCCGACCGCACAGAAACGGGTCGTTCCGTTTCACATCCTCCTTCGCACGCCCGGGATTTCTCGGAACAAAGTGATCCTCCATCTAACCGCAGGCAGGTGGAGCCCGCCCCACAGGGAGCGCAACGCTTCCTCACCGCCACCGGCTCAACGAAGCGAGTTGACAGGGACCCTCCCGGCCCGAGCCGCCCGGAAAGGACACGCCCCCTCGAGGGAGCGCGCGGCCGCGGCAACCCCCGGCGCGCCTGCTCGCGAGCGCGCACGCGGGACGGGGCGGGGCTCCTTCCCGGCACCCAGTGGGCGCCCGGCCCCGAAGCCCCACCCCCGCCCGGGCCCCGCCCCCTCGGCCAGGCTGTGGAGAGCAGGCGACCGGAAGCCACTTTAAAGCAGAGCTCGAGGTGACAGGCGAGCAAGCTGGGTCGGGAGCGCCGTCGCCGCTTTCTGCGCTCGCGGGCGGCGGAATGGCTCGGGCGCCGGTCACCGCGTCCCCAGCCTGCGACCCTTAGAAACCCGAGCCTGCCCTCCGCGCCGACCCCCGTGCGGACGTTGTCCGCGAATCGGCGGCGCCGCAACTCGGCTCCTGCGGTCGGCGCTCTCAGGGTGCCGGTTGAGGTAAAGGACTCCGGCTGAGCTCTGAGGAGCCGGGGAGGGACCCTGGCGGGGCTGGCGGGCGAGGAAGCGGGCGCCGGCCCCGCAGCGACTCTCTAGGATCGAGGGTGATGGCTACTTAGATTGTGCTTTTTTTTTTTTTTTTTTTGTGCCGAGTTCACTCGGATCCCGTCCGCGTCGAGATGGAATTGGTTTACACTTCGTAGTCACTCAGGGCCTCTGGCAGGTGTCTACACCGGAGTGAGACGCTGAAGGGTTTGGTCAGGGTCGCCGGCGTCGCCCCTGCCCG